GCAGGGGCGCAGCAGGCGGGCTTGCACACGGGGCGGCAGAGCAGGGACATGGAGGAGGGGGGTCTGCAGCAGGGGCTGGGCTGGCAGCAGGGGGTGGACCCGGAGCTCACAGGGGTGCAGCAGACGGGCTTGCAGCACACAGGGGTGCAGCACACAGGGGTGCAGCAGGCTCCCTGGCAGGGGGAGGAGGTGCCGCAGGAGTCTGTGCAGGGGGAGTCCTCACAGCAGACGGGCTTGCAGCACACAGGGGTGCAGCAGACGGGCTTGCAGCACCCAGGGGTGCAGCACACGGGCTTGCAGCACACAGGGGTGCAGCAGGCTCCCTGGCAGGGGGAGGAGGTGCCGCAGGAGCGGGTGCAGGCTGGCTGGCACGGGCTGCACACGCAGCTCGCAGGGGTGCAGAGGAGGGTCAGGCAGGGGGCGGGGGCGCAGCAGCTGGGGGCGCAGCAGGGGGGCTCGCAGAAGCTCTCTGGGCAGTCGCCCCCCTGCCAGGAGGAGGCGGGGCGGGAGTCAGGGGCCCCGGGCAGGCAGACGCGGCTGCCTTAGCTCAGGTCGCTGGAGCAGACGGACAGGGTGGACGCGGCCATGGTGGGGGCGGGGGTGGAGGAGGGCGCGTGTGAGTGTGTGAGTGTGAGTGTGTGTGTGCCTGGTCCCTGGGACGCCACGACTTTTATATCGGCCTGAGGCTCATGTTGTCCCCACAGGAGACTCACCACCCCTTCCTTGTTGCTGTGTCCCCGGGTCAGGGAAGCCACATTAGATGAGTCATGTGACCAGGAGGCTCCCGATGACGCCCTGCGGGTTGTGGCCCTCGGGGAAGCTGAGGCCCTCGTGGGGTGTCAGGGAAATGCGTGCCTGTGACTCCCCATGGCAGACGGCCGTGGTAGCCTCCCGTCAGGCTGCTTGTGGCTGCACAGGGTTCCACGGGTTACGTGGGAGAAAGGAGCCGAGCTGCTTCCGCTGCCCTAGGGGGACCCATGAGGACATCAGACCCCTCGGTGGGGGCCCACGGGCTGGGCAGAGCAGAGGGCAGCAAGCAGACACCTGACGCCTCCGGGAGCCTGGGTCGTTGGTCTTTCACAGGCTCACCTAGGGGGTGGCCATAGGGCTTGAGGGTCCCAGCACGCAGCCCCGGGAGGGAGGCAGGCAGGCAGCCGGGGCGGGTCTTTCCCTTACGCCTGGGGGTGCGCGATGCCCACGTGGATTTGACAGCCTGGGCGTCACAGAAGCAGTGATGACAGCTCAGGACACTTCTCAGATTCTGGCCGTTCCGTGGCATTGACTTGGGGATCGGGCCAGTTCCCTGGCTAAAGCTTGAGGAAGGGCCGGGCAACAGCAGGGGTGCAGCAGCCAGGAGGCGGAGGTGTGACTTTGGGACGCTGCCCTGGCGTCCTGTTCCCCCCCATAGAATCCAGAGAGAAGCCATGTGGGCCTGAGGGTTCTTTGTGGACTTTTTTAAAATTATAGATTCACAAGAAGTTACTAAAAATTATGCAGGGATCTCCCACTGCCCTTTACCCATTTCCCTCGGTGGTGGCCACTTGTCTGACGTGAGCACAAGTCACAACCAGGGGGTCAAGCACCAAAGCCCGCACCACGCTTGCCCACATTGGTCTGGTGTGCATGTGTGTCTGCATGTGTGTGCGTCCTGGTGTGCGTGTGCCTCTGTGTGTGCATCCTGGTGTGCATGTGCCTCTGTGTGTGCATCTTTGTGTGCATGTGTCTCTGTGTGTGTGGACATCATGTGGCTCATGATGTCCCCTTATTACCCTTTCGGGTCTGGGGGAGTCTCCAGTGAGGCTGCCCCCCCCTTCTTGTATCAGCACCGGCAGCTGCTCCGGCGGTAACTTCCTTTCTTTTCTTCTCTCTCTACAAGGAGCATTAACGGACCATGGGTGAGACGCTGTCAAGCCCCCAGAGAACACACGCGGCGTGTCTGGGGTCGTGGAGGGGCTGAGGTGCGGCCGTGGGGGGCCCAGGGCGAGGGACTGGTACGCCGCTTGGTCATTCCGCCTCCATCAATGCCTCACCTGCACACAGGTGCCTTTCAGCACACGCCTGCGTCCCCCACGCCCCAGGGCCAAGCACAGCGCCCCTCACCCCGGGACGGTCCCAGGAGGACACAGCGTGGAGGCAGCCTGTCTGTCCTGAGGACCGCACGTGAGTGACGGACTCTCGAGGATCCACAGCAACACCCAGAAGAAAATGTCAGAGAACGTGGGGCACAGGACCTGGTCCCAGTGAACCTAGAACAGGAAGTCATCATGCGCAGGCATGGGGGGGGGGGGGGGGGAATTCATCGTCTTAGAAAATGATGTTCAGAATAGCACTAATGATGTTGGTGACATTAGCTACCCTTTTCTGAGTCGGCGGGGGATCTGGGCAATTCACGTCTGGTAACTCACTTAGTTTTCACATCAACTAAGTGAGAAGTTGTCCCATACTGTGAACGAACAGAGGAGGAAGCCTGGGCACAGAGCAGTGAAGCCACCTACTCAGGGTCACACAGCCCAACGTGGCTGAAGTGGGACTGAAGCCAGCGCATACAGGATCTACGCTTTTAACCTGGACGTCCTCATTCCAAACAAAATGGTGGAAGACGGCAAGTGTTCGAGGAAATTAACACCAAGCAGCTGGATCAAAGGCTCACAGCGGAGGCAGGAAAGGCCACCACTGCTGCGGTCTGAAGGACAAATGTTGATGCCTCCAGAACAAGAAGACACAAGAAAGCACCCACAGACGTGGTCAGAGAACATACAAAACACGGACGGGGCGTTCGGCCGAGACCAAGCCTGGTAACCCAGTGGTCAGCGAGGGAGAGGAGCAGCTGAGATCAAAGCAACAGTCAAAGAAATGGCAGAGGATGTGCTTCCCAGAGCCGAAGGGACGGGATGTGCACACGTGGGCTGGACGAACTTGTGGATTCCACGAGCATCAGGTGCTTCGAGCCAGCCCTGGACACACGCTGCCGAATTCTACAAGCTTATTTTTTTTAATGTTTATTTATCTTTGAGAAAGACAGAGACAGAGCACAAGCAGGGGAGGGTCAGAGAGAGAGGGAGACACAGACCCCGAAGCAGCTCCAGGCTCCGAGCTGTCAGCACAGAGCCCGACGCGGGGCTTGAACTCACAAATGGTGAGATCATGACCTGAGCTGAGGTCGGATGCTTGACCGGCTGAGCCCCCCAGGCGCCCCTCTCTTTCACCATTAAATGCAGCTGCTGGGGTGGCTGTAACACGCATGTGGCTCGGACCACGTTTTTTTCAGATGGTGGCCTGTTAGGTGGTCACAGAAAGCTGAAAGGTGCGGGGTGCGGCCAGATGGGGAGAGAAACAACCAATTCTGTCTCAAGGAGGAGTTTCTCACGCTGTTTTTGATTGGTGACTTTACCGGTTGAAACACAAACGTAAAGGGAGACTTAGACATTCACTGGCGTGACTAAACACAGGATGGATGTCTTTCAAAACAGCAGGGAAGGAAAAGAAAGACAGCGTGGAAGGTATTTTAAAGAAAAGAAGCAGGAGGAACAAGAGAACGACCAAGTGGAGAACTTCAGCGGTGGCGAGCAGGGCTCGGGGCCGGGTACGCGTCTATCAGGGCGCCTGGGGCTCAGGCGGTTAAGCATCCAACTCTTGACTTTGGCTCAGGTCATGATCTCATGGTTCATGGGTTCGAGCCCCACATCGGGCTGTGCTGACAGTGCAGAGCTTGCTTGGGAGTCTCTCTCTCTGCTCCTCCCCCTCTCGTGTTCTCTCTCTCAAATAAATAAACTAAAAAAATAAAAACAAAGTACTTTTCATCTACTATTTTTTTTTAATGTTTTATTTATTTCTAGGAGAGAGAGAGAGACAGTGTGAGCAGGGGAGGGTCAGAGAGAGAGGGAGTCACAGACTGAAACAGGCTCCAGGCTCTGAGCTGGCAGTCAGCACAGAGCCTGACGCGGGGCTCGAACCCACGAACCGCGAGATCATGACCTAAGCGAAAGTCGGACGCTTAACTGACTAAGCCACCCAGGCACCCTCATCTACTATTTTTTATTAGATAAAAACAAAACTCTCGAAACGGTTCATCAGATCAAACCCAGGAAGATGGCGGTACCGTCGCAACTGAAGGAGCCAGCAAGCCCTCGCGGAGCGCACGGCCATGTGCCGCACTCAGCCGCCTCCCGTCTCCCCGCTGGGGGCCCGGAGTGGGGCCCGCCCGCCTCCTGCATGCGGGGGGCTCACTGGGCAGGCCTCCCTGCCGCCTGCCCTCCCGCTGGGGCCGTCCGACTCCCCGGTGGGCCCGTACACACCTGCCGCGAAAACCACGGAGGACAAATTAAAAGACAGTGGCTGAAAGGGAAGGACCCTCGAGATCCGAGGGTCCGCAAACACCAGGGGCACGCACAGTCCTCCCCAAGAGTCGGGGCGTCCGGGGGCTTCTCACAGGCCGGAGGGGCTGGGGGCCCCCGACCCTTCTTGTGCCTGCCTCCCCCTCCCGCCAGCCTGAGGAGCCTCCAGCCAGTTCTAAATGAAGAAAGAAAAAACCTGATGGAAATCAAAGGGCACGATGATATTAAAACACACTGAAACCTGGAAACCGGCGAGGGATTGAGTGCACTCCTCTGGGCCCAGGTGCCGTGCTGCCGTCCAGGCGCCTCTGAAAGCGGGAGCCGGCTGTCCCGGTGCGGCCCTCGCCCTGACCTCCGCATCTGCCAGAGGCTCTGCCCATCCACGCGGGTCTGCTGGCTGCTCACAGCCGCTTGAAATGCCGGATTTCGGGTACAGGTTAGTGAGAAGAGAGATGCCGTTCCTTTCTTCTCATGCTGGTTCAGAGCGCAGGGAAGGGCTCCTGCTCCGAGCCACAGCACTTAGCTGGACCCAGCGTCACTTTGGACCCCGGGCACACGCCAGTCCGGCTGACAGGGACTCTGGAGTGAGCAGTTCTGTGCGTTGAAGGGGCCGGAAGTCAAAGGCAGGAGCCTGCCTTCCTGTAGGGCTGTGCCTTCAGGGCTGGGAGTCGACAGAGGCGCCCCCATGCCCCCACTTGTGCCCACCTAGGGCCGGCTGGCTGCTGGGAGGAAGCATCCCGGTCGCCCTGGGCATGATCTGGCCCCACCCTGCACCCCCGATCGCCCCCTCGGGTAGCAGAGCCCAGCCTGGCCCCGCCCTGCACCCCTGATTGCCCCCTCGGGAAGCCCACCGAGCAGAGCCACGGATGCAGACATGCTCCGGGCCTGGGCTCCACGCACCAGACAAAGGCAAGCGAGTCCTCTCTGCAGCAGCGAGCCTTCCTCGGAGGCTCACTGATGCCCACAGACGCTTTTCCGAAGACTAGGACATTTGCTCCGCCAAACACAAGGGCGCGCCCGGGGAAAGAAGACAGGAAGTGGCAGCCATTAGGAGCGGGATGGACCACGTCGGCTTCAGATACCGAGGTCGCCATCCCAGGTTATAACACACACAGGTACTTCACTAAAGGGTCAGCTTTAAGATAGCTTCCGGAAGAAGAGACTCAAGCATGGTGGGGAGTGGGCTGCGGGTGACATGGGAGCGGTGGGCGGAGGGGCAGGAGGGGGCTTGATGCCCACTAAAGGGTCTGCGAGGGGCCCGGCCTGGCCGTCTGCAGGGCTGCACCACTGGGGAGGGTGGAAGCATCCCGGGAGGAGGGGTGTTCGGGGAGAAGAAGGAGAGGCAGGGCCCGGGGCAGTCCTGGCAGGGAAGGAGGGGTGGGGGCGAGAAGATGGGGCTGAGTCCGACAGGGCAGAGGAGGGGAGGGGCAGCACCCAGGGAGAGGCCGGGCTGGTGGGTGTGGCTTTCTCGGAGTGGGGCTCCCACAAGGGCGACTTGGGCACCGGGGATGAGGGACGGGCACGCCCTGCACCACACACGGGGTGGGGGGGTGTTGGCACCCACGGGATCCTGGGTGACTGGCCGGCCAGCCCGCCTGGAGTCACCATGCTTGGTGCCAGGAATGCTCCCCACCGGACACCTGCCTCCTTCTGACTGGGGGCTGATCCGCCACAATGTCGCCATGCATGCTCCCCCGAAGGTGGCCAGAGGGCTCGTGAGGCCCCCCAGACGTGGCCCCTCCTCCCTGGGGACCATCTGTGGCCCAGGCAGGACCTGCATCCTCCAGGGGATGTCCGTGCCGAGCACCGTGCCTACAGGGCCGGGGTGAATCCCTCTTCCCCGTCTCTTCCAACAAGGTGACCTGCCTGCATACTTGAAATCCTGGGGGGACAGCCCAGCGAGCCCCACCATTTTCGGTACCCCAGACCCTGCGCTGGTGTTCCGGAGAGATCATTTTATGTGTCACCTTGGCCAGGCCATCACGCTCAGTTGTTTGGTCAAACACATACAGACCTTGCTGTGAAGGTGGAGACTAGTATTTAAATCAGTTGACTGGAAGCAGATCATCTGCTATATAGTGGGTGGGCCTCACCCAATCAGTTGAAGGTCATGGGAGCCCAGACAGAGATCCCCCAAGAGGTAGCCGGGGTCTCCCAGCAGCCCATCTTGGGGCTCAAGCTCCAACGTCAGCTCTTGCCTGGGAGGCCTGTCCTGTAGATTTGGGACTTGTCGGCCCCCAAAGTCGTGTGAAGCAACTCCTCAAAATCACTGTGTGCGCCCGCACACATCCTATCGGCTGTTTCTCTGCAGAGCCCTGACGACACAGGCGCCCGTCATCGCTGCGCTCAGCACTCATGCTCCTGGCGTCTTCACGTGGAGGGAAGTGCCCGCCCCTGTGCTGAGGGTCCCTGGAGACTGGCTGGCACCATGAGTGGCTTCACCCTCCAAGGCAGAAGCTTTATTAAATGGGCCTCCTTCGTCCCTGACAAAGCTCCGAGGCCCCAGGATGTACGGCTCAGGCCCGGACAGACGGCCCTCCGTCCCTCGCTGGTGAAGGGACCCGGGGGTCTCCCGGGTGGGCAGGCTTCTCTGTGTGGCCGCGGGGGACAATCCCCACGGGACACCCAGCAGGGTGGCCAGCCCTGCCCGCGGCGCTGCTGTAACGGATGCAGCTCCAGGCCTGGCACAGAGCAGCCCAGCCTGCGGGCAACGTCAAAGCCCTTCCCCGTTCGCCAAGACATGCATGCGAGGCCTTGGGAGAGAGACGGACAACGACTTTATTGGTTAACAGACCGGTCACTCACATAGACAGGACGGAGTGACCCCAGTGCAGCCAAGATGGAGAGGAGGACGCAGGGTGGCCCTAGGGAGCTTGGAGCAGCCCAGGGGGGCGGCCCAACAGTGAGGGCTCAGCCTTGTCTGCCATGACGGGTGCTCTCGGGCAGAAGGAGCCCCAGCCTGGGCTCAAGGCTCTGAATATTTTGGGTGGAAGACCCACTAGGAGTGGGGGGGGACATGCCCGTCAGCAGCAGGACTGGCCCGAGGCGGGGCCGCAGCAGGCGGGGCGGGGGCACGCGGGGCGGCAGAGCAGGGACACGCAGGGGGCCGGGCGGCAGCAGGAGGCAGGGGCGCAGCAGCAGGAAGCAGGGGCGCAGCAGGCGGGCTTGCACACGGGGCGGCAGAGCAGGGACATGGAGGAGGGGGGTCTGCAGCAGGGGCTGGGCTGGCAGCAGGGGGTGGACCCGGAGCACACAGGGGTGCAGCAGACGGGCTTGCAGCAGACAGGGGTGCAGCAGACAGGGGTGCAGCAGACGGGCTTGCAGCAGACAGGGGTGCAGCAGACAGGGGTGCAGCAGACGGGCTTGCAGCAGACAGGGGTGCAGCAGATGGGCTTGCAGCAGACAGGGGTGCAGCAGACGGGCTTGCAGCAGACAGGGGTGCAGCAGACGGGCTTGCTGCACACAGGGGTGCAGCACACAGGGGTGCAGTAGTCTCCCTGACAGGGGGAGGAGGTGCAGCAAGAGGAGTCTGTGCAGGGGGAGTCCTCACAGCAGACGGGCTTGCAGCAGACAGGGGCGCAGCAGGCGGGCTTGCAGCACACAGGGGTGCAGCAGACGGGCTTGCAGCACACAGGGGTGCAGCAGGCTCCCTGGCAGGGGGAGGGGGTGCAGCAGGAGGAGTCTGTGCAGGGGGAGTCCTCACAGCAGACGGGCTTACAGCACACAGGGGTGCAGCAGACGGACTTGCAGCACACAGGGGTGCAGCAGTCTCCCTGGCAGGGGGAGGGGGTGCAGCAGGAGGAGTCTGTGCAGGGGGAGTCCTCACAGCAGACAGGTTTGCAGTACACAGGGGTGCAGCAGACAGGGGTACAGCACACAGGGGTGCAGCACACGGGGCCGCAGCAGCTGGGGGCGCAGCAGAGGGGCTCGCAGAAGCTCTCTGGGCAGTCGCCCCCCTGCCAGGAGGAGCCGGGGCAGGAGTCAGGGGTTCCGGGCAGGTAGACGCGGCTGCCGTAGCTCAGATCGCTGGAGCAGACGGACAGGGTGGACGTGGCCATGGTGGGGGCGGGGGGTGGAGGAGGGTGCGTGTGGGTGTGAGTGTGTGGGTGAGTGTGTGAGGTCTCAGGCTGGCTGTCGGCTTTTATACTCCCGGGCGAGGGTCCAGGCAGCTGAGCGAAGCTTCCCTTCCTTGTTGGTGCCGGTGTCACGCCGAGTTTTCACTGTGCTGCTTCCCCGTCCAAGAGGCGCCAGCTGGCGCGGCTCCTGGAAGGGCCTCAGGGTTTCCTGTTTGTCCCGGAGTAAAGATAGCAGAGATGCTTGATGCTTCTGCAGAGACCATCGCAATCAGCCGATTTTCTGGAAGTGATAGCCTGTGCTCCTCCCCGTGGGGGGTTGCCCTTGTAAACAGACCTTCTCTCCAAGGGCAGGGGTGAGGGTGGGGCAATCCTAGCATCTGGGCTCAGCCAAGAGGGGGTGCCCAGCTGAGAACAGGCCTGATGGTGCTGGGCCCTCCTGGCCACGGGGCAGGATGCACCCTGTGGGGGATGCTGCCTGTAGGGGGCATAGATGGGGCGCGCTCCCCCGGGAGGGAGCCCTGGGGCAGGCGTGAGGAAGAAGTGTCCTGGGGGTCAGAGACTGGCTCCCAGGGGGCCAGAGTCATGGACGCAGGCTACGAGGGGCGGTGTGCTCTCTTCATGGCTTCATGCCCCATGTTTGCATCCACACCTGTGACCAAGTGAATGCACGCCGTCCCTCGCGGCCCGTCACATCCTCGCGGACATGTGGCCACGGCGCTCTGAGCTGCAGGCCTCAGCGGGGGCTTGGAGGGGCCGGTCTGGTGGGTGGGTCTGGGGTCTCTACTGAGGCTGCTGGCAGTCAGTCCTCAGCGGACGAATGTTATAATTCAAAGAAACAGTGGCTTAAAACTTTCTAAATCTATTGAAAAACTTTAATCTACACATCCAGGAAGCTCAACGCACTCAAATAAGATGCACGCAAAGACCCACAAACGGCCACATCACGGTGCGCGTGCCGATGGCAACGCGCATCCACAGGAAAACGGGAAGGTCGCCAGATGATGAAGAGGCCAGGGGAACAAAGGCTGTACGTATAATCCTTGCTTTTCTTTCTTCTCTCGGCTTCTTTGGAGTCATAAAAAGCACTTAGGTAATAATTGCAACAATACATTATTGGGTTTTTCACATGGGCAGATGGAGCGTGTGTTAACAGCAAGACCATGAAAAGGGACAAGAAGGGACAGCGTCCTGTACGAAAGGGAGCATGTTTTTACGCCCCGGGAACTGAGCCGCTCTAACTCAGAAACTGATTCAGCTGAGGTAAAATAAACACGCGGAAGCCCTAGAGAGCAAACACTAGGAGAAGCTTTTTCAAAAAGTGAAAAATCAGCAAATAAAAAATCCGCCTGAGAAAACATTCACTCAGTGCACAAGAACGCGCCGACAGAGGACGGAGGGAGGGACCGGCCATGGCTGGGGCTCCGTCCAGCTGCAGCTGGTTCTGCTGCGGGCGCAGTCAGGTGATGGGGAATCGCTGTGCGCACCGGCTCAGCAGATGTTGACGCTTGGCTCCTGGGGGGGTCACAGGTTCCCGTGAGCCCCTCGTCTCATTTTCAACAGCTGGCCGAGACAGAACCTCGCGTCGTGTGTGTCCAGGAAAAAACGCAGTGCCTCCCATCTCCCGCACGTAACGCTTCTGACACCAGCTGACCGGGTGCCCCACAGCTCGGTTCCATTCTGACACTACGCAGCGCTAGCACAGACCCCCAGGCTAAGGGCACCGGCCCATGAGACGGCCCCCACTTAGAGGCCAGCTGGCGGTAGTAGGTGCCCAGTTACGCACGGCGCCTGCCTGACTCGGCTGCACAACAGAGTAGGTTTCTAGCCACCCTCCCCTGTCCTGAGGATGGGGGTGCAGCTGACAGCACGAAGCCTCTAATCAAAGCCTGGTCGTTCTGGTGAGTAGCCCCCATCCCGAAGCCAACCAAGAATCACCTCGTCAGAACAGAAATCATTCCTACCACCCAGGAAATCCCGAGGGATTTAGGAGCTCTGTGTCAGGAATGGGGGTCAAAGACCAAATATTACCAAGAACCAGGGACAGAGACATATATATTTTATTATACATATATTCTATATATATCATATTATATATCTCAATACACATTATTATGTCACAGCGAATATCTAATATTCATTGCTGATTCTTCAACACTGAACTCCCTTCCTATCACAACATAACTCACGCCCTAAGGAAGCTTAACTAACACATGTATTTTCTCCATGCGGCACATCACAGCCTTCTGGCACTTATGAGGCCACGTCAAGCAGACACATCACCAAAATAAACACAGGAGCATGGGAAATGTGGCACTAAATAGACAGCACAAGACACTTGTTTGCACCATGAGCTGAAACAGGAAGGGGACCGTCACCTTGTTTGACCTCTGCTGGGAATCTGTGTGTGGGGACACTCAATGTTTTGCTGCTCTATGCGCATCCAGGAATGACTGTGAAAGCACCATGAGTATTGACTTTGAGATTACGAATCGATTTGAGTGAGTAGCTAAAGTTGCAAATGCCAAATCCATGAATAATGAAGATCAATCATATATCAATAGTAACATGAATTGTGAATGAATTCAATAATACAATCAAGGGGAAGATTGTCAGACTGGATAAAATTAAGATTCAACTATACACTCATTATAGGAGACACTTTAGAGTCAAAGATACAGCTAGATTGAAAGTAAAAGAATAGAAAAAATATATCATGCAAACAGCAGCCACAAGAAAATATTAATATTTACTAACATCAGATAAGGTAGACTTTAAAACAAAAATTGTTACTAGAGACAAAGAGGGATATTTTATAATGATAAAAAGGTCAATCAATGAGGAACATATAACAAATTTAAACATATATGGAAATAATAACAGAGTACCAAAATACACAAAGCAAAAGCTGACACACATATAGGAAAAAATAGGCCATTCAATAATATTAGTTGAAGACCTCAATATCCCAATTTCAACAATGGAAAGAACAACTGAGAGAAGACCAACAAGGACGTGAAGAACACGGTAAACCAGCAACACCTAATGGACATCTGTAGGACACCCCACCCAACAACAGCAGAATATACATCCTTCAGAAATGCACACAGCACATCCTCTAGGACAGAACATAGGCGAGGCCATCAAACACCCCCCAGTGTGTTAAAATGGATAGAAAAACACAAAGTATGTTCTCTGACCACAAGGGAACAAAATTAGAAATTAGTAACAGAAAACAAATTGGGGGAGTTCATAGATATATGGACATTAAACAACACACTCCTAACTAACCAAAAGGTCAAAGAAGAATTCAAAAGGGAAATTGTAAAATACTTTTAGGTGGCTTAGTAGGTTGAGCATCCGACTTCAGCTCAGGTCACGATCTCAGGGTTTGTGGGTTCGTCCCACAGCTATGCTGACAGCTCAGAGCCCAGAGCCTGCTTCAGATTCTGTGTCTCCCTCTCTCTCTGCCCTTCTCTGCTTGTGTTCTGCCTGTCTCTCTCTTTCTCAAAAATAAATTTTAATTTTTTTTAATTTAAAAAATACTTTTAAATGAATGAAAGGGAAGAGCAAAATACCAGAACTTACAGGATGCAGCTAAAACACTTCTTAGAGATTTACAGCTGTAAGTTGCTATATGAATAAAGAAAGGTCTCAAATCAATAACCTAAACTTCCACTTTAAGGCACTGGAGACCAGCAGAAGGAAGGAAATGATAATGATTAGAGCATAAGTAAGCTAAACAGAGAATAGAAAAACAATAGAGAAACATCAGTAAAACTGATTCTTTTCAAAGATCTATAAAGTTGACAACTCTTTAGCTATATTGATCATGAGAGAGAGAGAAGGAGAGAAGACACAAATGGTGAGAATCAGAAATGAAGAGAGGACACTGCTATCAGCCTTTACAGAAAAAAAAGGATTACAGAGAACTGCTACAAACAACTGTATGCCAATAAATTACATAAATTAGATGAAATGAACAAATCCTTAAGAACAAAATAACTGTAAAGCTGGTCCTCTAGAGGCTGTGGAACATCATTTTGTTGCATTAAAGAAAATATAAATCCATGCGAAAACCCCCCTGTTAAGGATGAGAAGACCTGGGGCACCTGGGCGGCTCAGTGGGTTAACTGTCCCTCTATCGATTTCAGTTCAGGTCATGTTCTCGGGTTTGTGGGTTCTGGCCTTGCATCGGGCTCTGCCCTGACAGTACTCGGAGCCTGCTTGGGATTCCCTCTCTCCCTCTCTCTCTGCCCCTCCCCTACTCTCTCCCTGCCTCTCTCAAAATAAACAAACTTTAAATACAACATAAATAAAGCCACTTGTATAAAAGCCGCTTCCCGGAGTGATGTAGTTTGAGTCCCCTGGGTAGCGCTATCTCAGTGATACAATGTGGTCACCACGTGCTGTACTTAATCCCCTATGTGGAAGCACTAGAATAAAAGATGTTTCTGCAACACAAGTTTTACCCAAAACAATAATCACTGAGCACAGCAGAAATAAAAGACGGAGGGGACAGCACAGCCCGTCCGTGGGCGGCACTCACGTCCGAGTCGTCCGTGGAGTGGAGTCTTTGCGTCCAAATATTGGGGTCGTGTTCAGGACAGTGGCTGACAAGACAGAGGCTTTGCGCTGAGAAGTGGAATTTATATAAAACAGAAGACAACGGAAATTACGGAAAGGGGAAAATGCAGTGAGTGGAGTAGGAAGCTCAGACTCAACTGCAGGAAAGAGAGCAGCTTTTGTGAGCAGACGCCACAGGACCGCCCGGGAGCGTCACCTCCCACAGCGCAAGCCAACAAGGACCGTGACTGGGGTGGGAGGGCCCTCCTTTCTTAGCCGAGGACTCTGACTTGGTCACACACCTATGAGGTGTCCCGTCCTGGGCCCCACAGGGAAGCAGCGGTGGGCCCTGGGGATCCTCACCTTTGGGGGCTTCCAGCCTGGTGGGGGGATGGGAATATTAGCTGGGTCGGAGGTGG